TGGCCCAGGAGGAACCCACTACCGAGGCTTACATGTGCTGGCCTGAGAAAGCCAGTGTATGTGACACTGGGGGACAGTCACAGCTTGCCTGAGTACCCTGCAGACTCACTGTAACTTCTCCCTCTCCCCCAACCTGCTGCTCATCTCTGCAGACTGGGAACTGTGCTTCCGTCAGATCTCAGATTCTGATGCTCGGAAAATGCAGAGCACGCTGCAGATGCCCCATGGACGTGTTCGTGCACCACAAAAACAAGACAAACAAAAATCAAAACCACAGCGCTTCCAAACAGAGTAGCCGTTAATAACTAGACAGCCGAACAGGTTGCTGCTATGGGCACATCTCTGAATACTCTCCTCCAGCAGCAGGATGCTCCAAGCCCAGGTTGTCAGAAGAGAAGAAAAAAAAAAAAAAAAGATGTAAGCTCTTGACCTAAGCTGAAATGAAGCTCCAACCAGAGGCCATAGACCTAGAGGAACACAACACAAATCCTGGTTGCCCAAAGATTACCAGGCTGACCTTCCAAGGCCACTCTTCAGAGCATACCCAGTACAGCAGCTGAGTCTCCAGGAGAGAGCGATTCCCGCCCATCCTTCCAAACAACAACAAAACCCCCAATCTGCTGCTCATCTCTTCAGACTGGAACTGCGCTTCTGTTAGATCTCAGATTCTGATGCTTGGAAAATGCAAAGACTGCTGCCATCAAAGACTGAGTAGAAAATCATTCAAAATGTTTCACATGAAACGCTGTGAATGACACAGTTTCATTATAAGCTATTTGCCCTGTCCGGTGGCAAATCAAATTGAAAACAATGTACAAGTTATAGCAGCAATTTTCTTTCATTTAATTGCTATTTCCTTCTTCTGGCCACTAAAGTTTCTCGTCCTTTGCTTGATACTCTACTAGCTTTTCATCCCATCATAACCAAGATACAGAAGCAAGGGAATCAGAAACTAAGGAACATGGCTACTGTTGAAATGTGCTCTCAAAAATCAGTTGTAAATTACTAATTTAAAAAGCTGGTCCTAGCCAGAGCTATCAAGGAATCACTTTATTGCAGTAATCAATCCTCCCACATAGTAAAAGACCCTGCATGTAGCTCTAGCCTGGCGGCTAGGTCCCGGGAGTGGCAAGTTAGTCTAATGGCACCTGTCAGACACAGAGAGCAGGCTCCAGAGAGCGACACCCGTCAGTGCTATTAGCCACTTACAATTTTGTCTTTCCTTGTATTGACTTACATTTGTGTCAACACTGTCTTAATACACGTGTGTCACATAACACAAGACTGCCCTGGATCTGACAAGAGGGCTTTCTGAAAACTGTGTCTAACCCATAGAAACCCTGGGACTCCAAACATCAGAGAGAAGAGCCTGTACAGGCTGAGAAAGCCCAGTGAGGTCTCCTGGGAAGGTGGGCTATTTCTATCCTTTCACCCTAAAGCTCTTAAGTTAGGAATCCAGGGAAACCAAACCACACACCTGTCCAGAGCCTCTGTGTGTGTTAAAACAAGATTTTAACTATTTTGCTTGTGCCTGTGCCAACAGAGACATCTCGTCTAAGACCAGCCATGTGTTCTAAGACAGGGAAACTGTTTATCGTAATACCAATCTTAAAGTAGCGTTTTCTGCAGCCAAGTCAAAATCAATAGCTGTGAGAGAGAAAGCGTCTGTGGGTGTCGGCACCTCTAATTCCCTTTATACTCATGAACTCCAAACCATTATGCCTACATTTAAAGGAAGTCATCTAGGTGTCTGGTGACGCTGATGGTGTGTGTTTCAGGTCTGCAGAGGCTTAAGCCTGGGGTGGTAAAAGCAGTTTGGAACTGGCATGGGCCTGGTGTTCCTCACTGGTTAGCCAAGCTCAGGCTTTGCTCTCAAACAGCAGCCAGCTGCATGCAGATGTAGGGAGCCCCTGACCTCACGCTTCACATTTCACAACAAGCTCTGCTCTTCCTTCCTAAAAATACAATTTCTAAGTCTTGCCAAGCCACCTGAGCCCCAAAGGAAGCTTAGGCAAGGCAGGGTGGGCCTGGCCCTGGCACTATTCACAAAGGGAAACCATGGCATCTGGGGCCCCCACCATAACTTCAGAGCAGGGATTTTCACATAACAACACTTAAGTTCTGAACGACTGACCTCCTTTAAGAGCTAGTTTATTAGTTATGTGTATTTATGTCTTGTATGAGTATGCACGTGAGAACAGGTGCCTGTGGAGGCCAAAGGCATCAGATCCCTCTGGCACTGATGCTCCGGGACATTATGAACTGCCTGGTGTAGGTGCTAGGAACTGGGTCCTCTGCAAGAACAGTTACATATTCTTTTTGTTTGTTTTTGTTTTTGTTTTTCGAGACAGGGGTTTCTCTGTGTAGCTTTGGTGCCTGTCCTGGATCTTGCTCTGTAGCCCAGGCTGGCCTCGAACTCACAGAGATCCGCCTGCCTCTGCCTCCCGAGTGCTGGGATTAAAGGCGTGCGCCACCACCGACGCGCCAGTTATAATACTCTTAACCACCTCTCTCTCCACCTCTGCCCCAGCAACTGACATTCTAAGAAACAAATACATAAAAAAACAAAACAAAGAGACAAAACCAAAGCGCACAGGATCCTGATACGATGGTAAGACGGGAACGCTGGGGTTCTGTAACACTGGCTCTAACAGCCAGAGAACTGGCTGCTCCTAAGTCTTGAGGACAGTGACCTGACACCTCTGACATTTTCAGCAACGGCAAACATTTTATCTGGATGGAAGGTGTAGAGCTTTATTTACACATACATACACACACATGATTCAGAACTTTACAATAATGTGAGGCCCAGAGTTCTGTGTATATGCATATGCTATGATCCAGTACACTTTTTTTCAAAATGCTATTTTCAGTTTGGGTATTGTTTTGGTTTTTTTCCCCTTTTCTGAGACAAGGTGTGATGTATCCCAGTCCTCAAAGTTGATATATATCAGAGGCTGATCCTCCTAATTGTACTTCCCAAGTGCTGGGATTAGAAACACATACCATCACACCCAGCTTGTGGGTTTTCTACAAGACCCATAAAGTGTGGTGATGGTCTGTCCACAGAGACAACCAATAAGATCAGTACTGCAGTCATTACTATTAAAAACTTGTATCCCTAGGGGGCACAACTTCCAACACACTTAACACCTTGACTATTGCACACCCCTTGCAAGTGTTTGTCCCAAAGGACGCATCGAAACCTTAAATGCTTTTGACTTGTACCTAGGTGCAGCTGAAGCATATTCATGCCAATCCTGTCTGTGCTTCTCCCCCATCTCTGTAAGACAGGTACTTATCTGGAAACCAGGCAACTAATTACAGTCTTCCACCAAGTCCACAAAACAGAGATGCAAGCCCGCTTGTCAGAGTCAACAGGGACCTTTCAATTTTCACTTCCTCTGTGCAAATGACACAACAGCCCCTTCAGGCAAACCAACTCTTTTTTCCTTCCTTTATTTATTTTCATGGGTGAGCTTGCCAATCGGCACTGTGGTACACGTGGCGAGGTCAGAGGACAACCTGCGGGAGTTAGTTCTTCTCTCTCACCTGTGGGCTGTGGGGATCACACCTGCTCACTAGCTTGGTGGCAGGTGCCTTTACCTGGCCGAGTCAATCTCACTGGCCCCAAAACTAACTCCTGTCATCTTCTAACACTTTAAAAGCATATCGGGAGGGAGGGAGGGAGGGGAAGCGAGAGGGATTAATGGTTGGAGCGGGAGCAAGGCATGTTAAAACTAGACGGGTTCAAGGCAACTCAACCAACCAAGTCTGGTGACAGGTAACCTCCCAGCAAAACAAAGACAACACGCAGGCAAGCATGCCATGGCAGGGTTGGCGCCAACCCTTCTCCGCTCCAGAACCACAGGCAGCAGCAATATGAGACTAGTTTGTCTTCCACGGGTCCTCTGCCGAAGATGGTTTTAATGTGAGCCTCGACCTAGGGCAGTCAGCTAGCCTGTCAAGTCCAGCTGGGAGAAGCTCTTTCCGGGCGGCGGGAGCCAGCCGGTATTGTAGAAACCACTGTACTCCACTGCTTCTACCTCCGTGGTCATCAGAAGCATTTTTTGGTAATCGGAAGCAAGATTAAAGAGTTGTCCTAGTATAATGCCAACCTCCCCCGCCACACACACATACACACACACACACACACACACACATACACACACACACCAATTACTCATCCGTGCCCAGTCTTTTCCCTCCAGGTGATAAACAGAAACCAGATCCATGTTTTGTGATTTCAGACCCCCAAATGCTATCAATCATATGGCTAATTCACCGCTTTCAGTATCTACCCCCAGAAATTTCTCCACAAGACCCCAGTAGGCATGTGAGAGACAAGAGACACCTTTAGTTTCAGGATGGGCTGCAGGACTGGCCCCTCATTCCCTAACATCCATTACCCGGCTTGCTTTCCCCAGTGACATGTGGAGGGCGAGGGGCCTGGATGCCCGTCATCCGCTCTCACTGGCCATGAGCTGACAACCAAAAGCTCCCTAGGTAGAACCACCCAAATCAGCCATCACCGCCCTCGGATAGTGGAACCAACAGCAGCCTGCTGCGCTGAAGAAGGGGATCAAGGACAGACTCGAGAGGAATGTGGGCTCCTCTTGGCTGGCCAAGAGCTGCACCTGCTATGCCCACCCCAACCCCCAAGCCCGGTCTGAGCAAAGGCGTGTTCCAGCTCCATCCATCCTAGCAAGAGGAACAGCAGCAATTAATTGGGCAGCCAGGTGATCTTACCCTAGTCAAGATCACGAAGACCAGGTGACAGACCCAGAACTGCTAAAGCACATAAAGCCTGGGGTGATGGCATTCAGGACCACCCAGGCTGCCACCGAACCTGGACATCGGGGGAAGGCGGGTGTCCTCGCTGCTCCCGGGCCCTAGTGTGCTCACACTTGCAGGCTGCTGGACCACGGGCCCAGCCCCCACAGCTCTCCTGCTTGTCCAAGAGCCTACCCCCACCTCCCCGCCACCCCCGGGCTGCCCACCTCTGCGCGGAGACCCCTCGATGCTCTCTGCGCTGGACGAGTGTGTGTCGGCCGGGGCCCTCCGCAGGCTGAAGTAACCGCGGGAGCGCAGGGCACCGCTGCGGGGTGAGGGCCCGCCATCCCTGCGCGCGAAGATGCCGCTGAAGAAGCGCAGCAGCCGGTGCTCCGAGGCTGCCCCAGGGCCAGCGGCCGCGGCCCGCGCCCGCTCTAGCCGCTGCAGGTCGCTGTTGTCCAGCGTGCGGTTCTTGCTCTTGCTGCGCTCCCAGCGCTCCAGGTCCGAGAGCGCATCGTTCTTGCTGAGCACCTCGCCTACATCCAAGGTGTTGCGCTTCTCCGTCGCGGGCTGCGCTCCGGCCACCGGCTCCGGGACGGCCTCCGCCTCGACCTCGTCGTCAGGCGCCCATGCCAGGCTCCCGGAGCTGCTGTGGCGCCTCCCGCCGCTCAGCGCAGGGCTCCGCGGCGCCTCGGGCTCGCTCCAGTGCCTGAAGCTGAGGCTCCGCCGCAGGGGCGCGGCCCGAGCCTCCTCCCCATCGGGGCTGCTGGGTCCCTCGGCCGAGGGGCTTCCCATCAGGTCCGCGGGCTCCGCGCCGCGTGTGCATGGCCGCAGCCGCCCGAGCTCCAGCTGCCCGGTGCTGCGTGTGCGGAAAGCGCGGAAGTCCCAGGCGCGCGGCCCGGCCTCAGGATCCTCAGCCGCCGCCTCCTCGGCCTCCTCTTCCAGCCGCCCGGGCGCGTCCGGAGAACGTGCGGGCCGGGGCCGCCGAGCGGGGCGCGGAACAGGAGCGGCCAGCTGCTCCTTCCTGACCATGGTCACCGAGATGCGGTAGACGGTCTTCCTGGGGGGCGTCCCGCGCGGCATCGCGTCCGCGGGCGGCGACGCGGGCTCGCCGCTGCCGTCCAGCAGGTACATGTCCCCAGGGGCCGCGG